GTAAAAAAGTTATAGTAAGCTAACTTTATTATTGAAGAAAATATATTTTTACAAATTTAGTGTAAGTATAGACTGTTTATGAAGTCTACAGTGGTATATAGTCATGTCCTAGGCCCTCACACTCACACATCACTTACTCACTGACTCACCCAGAGCAACTTCTAGGCCTGCAAGCTCCATTCATGGTGAGTGCTCTCCACATGCACCACTTTTAACCTTTATACATATTTTTACTGTACCTTTGCTGTGTTTGGATGCACAGATCCTTACCACTGTGTTACAGTTACCTGCAGTGTTCAGAACAGTAACATGCTGTGCAGGTGTGCAGTCTGATCAGCTGTACCGTGTAGCTTTGATGTGTGGTGGGCTGTACCAGCTAAGCATGTGTACATACGCTGTGATGTTAGCCAGACGACCAAATCACCTAACGGCACATTTCTTAACAATCGCCTGTTGTTAAGTAACTCCAGACTGTATCTTAGCTTTCTCTTCCAGCCTTTCAGTGGACGTTCACATTTCTACTCTAAAAGCCCAAGAGCTCTTTCTGTACTCAAAGTGTCCCTTCATAGCTTCCTGTCATGTTTTGTTAATGTAACATTTTGTCTTCTATTTCTGAAGATATCCTTGTAGGTCAATGCCTTTGTATGCATTGACCCTTCTTTGGGGTGTGGGGAGGTGGTAAAAGGTGACACTTCACTTCCTGCATTTTGCCTGAGGATATTGCGGTTGCTTTTCAAGGCAAGTGTTTCCCACCACACTGTCAGCTCGATGCCAGTCAGCACATGCTGGGTACCCATGTGTTATTGAAATAAGAACTTTATTCTGACCATGATGATACGTCACAGGAAGGTTTTAGCAGAGGAGGTGCAGGATTGATGTAGAGGCCACTGGTGGCAGAGCAAGGTGAACTGGGAGAGGCAGTGCTGAGGGCTGAGGCAGGTGAGAACTGGGAGAACCTTGGGCCAATACGTGTGAACAATTAGTATTCCTCAGTTTTTCTTTCATAAAATGGGATATCATTCTTGCTTGCCTTATTGAATTATTGGGAAATGAAATAAGGTATGGGAAATTCTTTGTAAATAAAAAACAAATGTATTGAAAACGTAAGGTATTATTACCACTGACTTCTGTGTCCTCATAGGAAAACAGCGTCGTCTGTACAGTCTGCCATTTGTATCTGTGGGTTTGGCATTCACAGATTCAACCAGCCACAAATCAAAATTTTAACAAAGGAGTAAAAAATAACAATAGGACAATCAAAATAATACAAATTAAAAACAATATAGTATAACAGCTATTTACATAGCACTTGCATTAGGAATTATTGGTAATCGAGATGATTGGCAGTATACAGGAGGATATGCATGGGTTGTATGCAGATATTCCACCATCTTCTGTCAGGGACTTGAGCATCCTTGAGACGTCCTGGAACACTTTCCTTGTGGATACCAAGGGACAGCTTCTATTATGAAATAAAGTATGTGATCTATATGTAGTTCTTTAATAATTGTTTGCAAATGGTGTCATTAAAATTATAGGTGGGTGCCGTATGCTAAAAGACATTCTAACTGCTGTCTGTGCTGTCTGCTGTCTTCCTTTAGCACAGAAGTTGGGCCTCATTGGGCCTCCACCACCTCAGCTGTCATCTGATGAATGGGAGAAGGTGAAACAGCGCTCCCTCCTGCAAGGGGACTCGGTGCAGCCGTGCCCCATCTGTAAAGAAGAATTCGAGCTTCGACCTCAGGTGTTTAGCGTATGAGGGTGAGCTAGAGAAATCCTGGGCTGTTGCCTAGGGATGAGGCCCAGAGCTGCAGCCTAAGATTCCAGGCTTCCTTTTCCCAGTTTCGTCCTCTTGTGTGAGCCTCACACACTTCCATTAATTAAAGTGTGTGAAGAGCTAAACACCCTCATTAAATAGTTTTGTTTGTTTACTGACTGGTATTCTCAAGTACTAACGTTTGTACAAAAGGAATGTTTCTGTTCAACAGGCCCCATGTGGCCGTGCAGACAACTGGGGGGCTTCCCAGGAGCAGCTGTGTCCCAGTGCGGGAAGGATGAAAGCAGAGGAACTCTTTAAGTTGTTTTGTGATTTGAGTCAGAAAAGAAAAGAGAAAAAAAAAAAAACTGTGCTTGAATGTCTCCAAAGAATTTATGAGAAAATCTTTAAGAAAAGTAAAATCTTTTAATGATTTCTATTCATGAAACTTTACCATAGTAAGATTGATGATACTACTCTGGGTTAACAGATAATACACACACACACACACACACACACACACAGAGAGAGAGAGAATGCATGTAGGGTTTTTTCTATACATATTTTGTCTGCCTAACTAAAAAAACAGTCTCTTGAAGTTGGGGACACTTAGATTTATCAGAAGTGTGTGTGTGTGTGTGTGTGTGTGTGTGCGCGCGCGCGCGC